CCTCATTTCCAGGTCCTTTGGGCACGTGACCCAGGCAAGAAGCGCTGGCCGGTCCCGTTCTCTGCGAGCGTGGCGTCGACCATCGACACGGTGGTCACCTTTGAGGGTCCCAACATGCCGCTCGGAACCGGCGGCCTGGGGCTGGGACCTGTTGGACCTGTTGGGCATGTCCACACGTTGCACCCCTTGATGACTTTGGAAGGGAAATTCACACCCTGTTGGGTTTCCTGTGCTTGATAATGCCATGTTTTTGGATATGTTGGCAGTTCAGTCTGCTATCTTTGTGCAGATTTGCCATATTCATGAGCAAAGGCCAAGAGCAGCTTTGTTCATTCCAGTGAGTTATGTTGACTCACCAGACCCCTGCGAACAAAGTATTCCACCTGACTGTCCATCAGCCAAGCGTGCTCCTGGATGCCTGTGACTCGATGAAAGCTGCAGGATGCATTTCAAGCTCATCACGCCCCTGGGGACGATTCGCCAGATCAAGAGACTCGGCCGGCGTTGCTATGTTTCTGCGTAGCTGCTGTGCTGGGAGCTCCTCGCGTCTTGCACACTATCTTACTGCACTTGCGAGACTCATTTGTATCCTTTGGGGTTGGATCCTTTTGGATTTGGGATCGGAATTTGGTTTGCTCATTGTGGCCATTTGCAGATTACGGGTTCCAACATTGTCCGGCCCCCGGAGATGCAGCTGAGCAAAACGGCCATGCTGCCCAAGTGACGCACGAAGTGGTCAGTCCGCTTGAGCTAGTGGTCAGGGAGGTCATGAGCCCAGCAAACCAGATCCAACAGACCGAGAGGAAGTTGGATGGGATCAAGCCACCGGGCACCACTTTGGGACATTAATTTGCCGGTTGCTGTCATCAGGGTGATGTGCCCCAAGATGATGTGCCGCAAGATACGCATTCGCGCGCAACGCCGAGGACGATTTTGCCCATCGAGCCGTTCAAGCAGCAAGTGGAGACGTACTGGCAGCTTGGGCGGAAGCAATGCCTGAACGTGTTCTTCAAGAGGGGAGTCTTTTTTTGACTGGCTTTGAGATGCTTTGAATCAACCAGGAGAGTAACCACCCTTTGTGTCCTGAACCCAGTGTCCGATCCAAACTCCGAGCAGGGTTGGTCATGCTGCCCCTCGTGCGAACCAGGATAGCCCATGCCCTTCGTGTGTTGGATCATAGGCGTTTCTGAAAATGTTGGAACCCTGGTAGATGTTCAAGTGAAAGTTCCAAGAGAAATCTCTTGTGATCATTGTGTCCCAGAGTGTCTGAATTTGGCTATAGTTGTTTTACTTGGGAATACCGTCCCCCAAGTGGTTGGTGGACATAAATCCTCATGTAAATGATTCTTTACTGTTGTTGGCAAGTTTTGAGGTTGTTAGTTTTTTTTTCTTTTTTTCCGGTTCTGTTCATTGTTGGTAGGGGCTGCAAAAAGCGACGCTTTTCTGCCAGCTACCATACCAAGGGTTGTAAAGCGCTGTCCGCCAAATGATCTCCCCGCCTCAAATGCGTACCCATGCTGGTGTGGGTCAAACATAGGTACCCAAAATGGAACTTTTGTAAATGGAAAGATGTACTAAACCTGCGGTCCATATCCTGATGGTTTCATGTTCACCCCTACCATGCGGAAACCCGTGCATTTGTGCCTGTGTCAGGTATGCTGAGAGGTCGGTCCCTCGGCTCATGGCCTACGTGCTCAGTCTCATAGGCACGGTCTTGCTTGGGTTGCTCACTGTCTTCGCGGGTTCTCAGGGAATGAGTTGGCACCCCGAGCTTTTCCATCATCCCCGAGGGTTTCCTTTATTCGGGAAACCCTTTCCAGTTCATTCCCCAATTTGCCTAGATGGTTCATTCCCCACGAAGCCTTCGCCAGCGAGTTTTCTCGGGAGAGTCATTGTGCTGGCCTGTTGCGCACCATGCTCTTGCAATTTCCGATGCCTATGGCATGCGCTGGTCAAAGGCAACAGACTTGGCATCACTTTGGGCCTTGCGTGGTTGTTGGGCAACACCTTACATGTTTGCTTCTGGTGGTTTAGTGGGAAATCCCCACTTCACTGCTTTTTTTGTTTGCTCCCTTCCAACGTCAGTGCGGTTCTTTGAAGCCAGGGTTCTGACCCTCGGTTCCGGAAAAGATTCGCAGGGAAAGTGGCCCTGGAGCAAGACTTGGAGGCGCGGGGAGGACCGGTGAAGGTCCCTTTCTGAAGGGTTGGAGTGGGGTTTGATTCGAAGGGATCGATGGAAGCCATCGAAGACGTCCTTTCAAACTGCGGTGGTTGGTTTCCGTGCGGTTTTGGGGGTGGGAGCGGCTGGTGTTGACTGGTGAGCCATGGTGGAAACACTTCACTGAGCTTTGCACACGGTTAAACCACAACCGCCGCCTCTTGGTTTCCGTGGTGGTTGGTTGGTTTCCGTGCGGCTTTGAAGGGACTGGGAGTGAGCACACTTCACTGAGCTTGAACACCGTTAAACCACATTTGTTTGAATCGTCGCCTTTTGGTTTCCCTTTTTCAGGGGCATGGTTTCGATTATTGTCCAACCCTGACGTGCAAGGTGTGGGAGAACAAGCTCTACTGGAAGAAGCCGGTGCTGGTGGACGGCACCCCGGCACAACTCGGCGGACCGTTGAACGGGTGGCGAGAAACGGGTTCCAGCTTGCACCAAAGGAGAATGTGTGTAGTATCTTGGAGCCCGGTTGTTGGCTATGGGTCATCCATGGGTCACCCACCTCATCAAAAGGCGCACCCCCCCCCGTTTCAGGCGCCTTTGAGAGGTGCTCTTTGATTCTGGGCTGCAAGAAGTCTCCGGCCCACGTGAATTCTGCAAGGACTTCACAAGTGGATTCCAAGCATCCCCTTTTTGCAATGTCGAGACATCATCCTCTCCACTTCCGGAGTGACACTCTTTGCCGCCCACCTTGGAGGCTATGATTCTTGCTTCTTGGTCGTGGCACCGAGGGCTCCCCCAAACGTCCTATGAAACTTAGGGGTTCCCAGCCATCCGCTTCCTTAGCTTTTTAGCCTTTTAGTGTGTAGTGGTAGTTTCCATTTAACCCAGGTAAAAGTTAGTCACTTTTAGCGGGGGATCAGAAAACGGGCAGCTCAGGAAAGAGAGCAGGGCCGGATCGGCCGGATGGTTCGCCCCAGTGGGTTTGTTTTTAGGCATCTCGTGTCCGGCGTGTTTTGATGTCTGCCGCAGCTCCGGGTCGGTCCGCGGTTTGATGCGGTTTGTGTCCTTCCATGTCGCCGTCTCGGCCTCGAAGAAACCCAACCTGGTCCACTGGGGTCCTGAAGCTGGGTCCATCAAAGGGAACTTCCACGTGTCGCACGTGTTGATGTTTTGGATTTGGGCACTGGGGCGTGGGCTATCACCCATTCCGACAAGCAAGGTGATAAGAAGCGATGGCCGGCTGCTTCAAACTGAACCTCAATCTATGTTTCAGCAAATCCTCGGGCCTCTAAATAGAATTGGGACACGCCGCTTTTGGGTGGTGCTAGCATGACATGACAAGGACACCGCTGTTGGTTGAAAGGGATTGAAGCAGTCTTGCTTGCCTGGTGCACACCTGGTCCGCACATTGGACCACCAGTGTCTACTGATGCCTGAACACACACCATGCAAAATGTGAAGGGATTTCCGAGTGGGGCTATGCAAGATAGTTATGAGCTCAGTCACCTTTGCGTAGCGCGCCTTAGCGCAATCCACCGGCTATTTGGGTATTGTTGACCCTTTGGACATCACAAGGGATTTTCATAGCACTATCAGGCGTGTTCCAAGCAGCTTTCGTAACCATTGACCTGAGGCGACGGGCCCTTCCAAGACTTCTTCGATTGGTACGGCCAGTTTTACTCTCCAAACTCTGCTGAGCTTGGTCGCAGACCGCTGGAGTGGTAAGTTCCTTGGGTGATCAGTGGATACCATTGAGGCGGGGATTAGTGTCCACCAACCACTTTGAGGGGGTTCCCTACTGAAATTCATCGCCATTTGTGGTGAAAGACGCTGTCCCGTCTCAATGCTCTAGGCCCCCATGCGCTCCTGTCAGCAGAAATGCGAATCCTGAGTCGTCGCTGATGGGTCCAGAGCCTTAGAGATGTCCTTTGGTCGAATGTCTGATGCGGAACCGGACGATTGGAGAGTCCGGATCCCGGGACATGCGGATCCCAGGGCCTGCGAATGCGCGGAGATTTGCACAAGACAGATATGCGGGTGTTTTGTGTTAGGGTTTTTTTTTAAAAGGCCATCAACGGGTTTCGTTGCGTTTGCTTTCTTAAAGATTTATGTTAGTGGCGAGGATGAACAGCGCCTCAACATGGTCATTGCGGCTCTTTGCAAAACCTGCTTCTCACATGTCAATGTCTGACACACAATGAAAGAGAGAGAGAGAGAGGGAAACAAAGATATGATATCATGCTTCATTGCTGCAAGCCAAGCTCTGAGAACACTTCGTTGCATTGTGCCAGCACAAGGGCAATGGACCACGCTACCTGTGGTTATGCTTAGACTCGGCCACTTGGGCCTAGACCGCTCGTTTTTGCATGTTTTTGCATTTTTGGCTTTGCTCAAGGCAAAAGAGGCGGCGGCTGCTTATTTGCACCACTTATCTGGCCACTTGAAAATCACTTGAAGCCTTGCACGCGGGCGATGTCGGATTGCGGATTATGTGGGATTGGGGATTCTTCCCATTTTGCTCAGCCCAGTGTCCTTCCCACCGAACATGAACCAACGAAAAGGGCGACCGGCCAACCGGCATTCCCCTTTTCCTCCTGGCCGGGGCACTGAAAGGGTTGGGCCAGCCCCCTCTTGTGGCCACCGTGTAGACGGGGAGGGTCTGCTTGTTTGAACAACCAAACAGAGCATCCCACTAGGTTTGGGCCAACCCCCTGCCAAGGCATGGTTCATTTAGACAACCTGCTTGTGGATTCTCTTAAAGGGGGCATGGTTCAAACCAATTCGCCCAACCCTGCTTCCCACCTTCGTTCCAGGAACAACGCGAAGCAAACCCTAGGTCCTACCGACGGGTGCAGGAGGAAGGCCGCAGCCCCAGGAGAAGCCAGAAGCAAAGGGGGTTTTCTTTGGGCAGGGCTCCTTAAAAGAATACATCTTGCCCACTTGAAACATGGCTTTTTGCACCAAAGTAAAGGGACACCACCATTTACAAGGCAATGTTCAGGTGCATAATGTAAGGATCCCTGTTGGGAGATGTGTCAAAATAGGGAGTTGGACTCAAAAAGTGGTGGTTTTGCAGCGGTTTTTCTTTGAACCCGTCAACAACGCACACCCTGTTGGCTCCCTTCAATCAATTGGATGCGTAGAACTTTGTTTGGAAAGTATCCGGTTAGGCTTGATCCAAGGAGAAACCAACGGGAAAACCACACATTTTGAGTGAAGAAAAGGCGCAAAACGGAACGCCCTTGGTTGCCCATGTCATTGTTGCATGTTGCATCGAGAAGATCACCGCCTGTGTGCGTTCCACGATTTTGTGAGGCTTCCGTGCTTCAAACCAAAACATCCGCAAGATGCACGCATCCTAAGTCAAGTGCGAACCCTGTGACCAGCTTGTGCAGATTGGATTCTTTTTCGAGGGTCGGATTACAATATGTCGCCGTAGTTACTCTCGCTTCAGATAAACATGGAACCTCCGAAACGGTCATATGGGGGTGTCTTATTTGAGGGAATCCCCCAAAAAAGACACTCATATTCCGAGGAATCTGATTTAGGGTATTCTGTGTCAAGGAGCTTGCTCATACTGATGAATGAATTCCTGCACCAGTCGGTGGTTTACCCCAGGGTTTCATCCATGCCAAGTGGCGCGTTCGGATGTTGTCCCGGTCTCCCAGGAGAATTCCCGCCGTTCTGCAGCCCATCACACCAAAGTACCCTGGGGAAGTTGTAGGGTCGAAGACGAAGACGAAGTAAACGGGGGGGGTTCTTTGTGAGACCCACATGGGATTTTTCGAAGAAGAAAAAAACATGTAAGCTTACATCAGCCAGAGGCCTACGGAAACTGCTTGGTGAGTTCTTCCCGTCGAGCCAAGTTGGGACAGCTGGAGCTTCCCGAACTTGATCCAGTGCCACTGGACTGAGGCCCGGCGCAATAGGAGACCTCTCAATCTGGGGGTGTCCGGTGGTTTCCGTTTTTTTGAAACCAGCCAAAAGGACATGTTCTTTGAATCCCCCAATCCGTTGGGATTGGCAAAGTGACGCATTCCTAGCGCTTGATCTGACACGTAGCCGCAATTTCGATTTGGATGTGTCTTTTCTTAAGGAATCATCCCCCAGCAAAGTTTGAACAAAGATATATACATATATATGTATATATATATATATATATCGAACAAACGTATCAAGCCCCTAAACTGTGTCTTTTTTTCTTGGTTGACTTTAAACCACAAACACATCCGAGCCTCAAACAACGAAAAGCCGGAGCCAGCCAATTTGCTCCAGTGACTTAGGCTGGACCACGGTGATGAAGGGCGTGCCCCTGTGGCAGCCACTCGACCAGTCGGGTGGGGGTTCGTCGCGCTGGGAAGGCTTGGGGATTGGCTCCATCTCACGCCGAGCGCCCAAGCCCGAGTGCCATTTTGGTAGGGTTCTACCTGGCCTTATGGTCTGCCCAGCCCTCTCCAGTCCCTTCCTTTCGGCCCCTGTTGGTCACTTTGTGGCGGAGTAGCCTCTTCAGATCTTGATTTTTCAAGACCGCGTATCCGAACGTCCAAGTTTTTACACTTTGTACTTCTTGGAAGATCATGCAAGTGGTGGCAAACATCAAGCTAGCGCGTTTTGGGGCAATCCACTTAAGAAGGGAGTAGTATTGACAAATGTATTGGCAATGTTATTGTTCAATTCCATTGAGATTTATTTATTGGTGAGTGAGGAGTCAAGTGGATAGGGTTTGCCAACAAACTTTGCTATGCTTTCCGCAGTATTGGCTGACAGTCGTGCAACACAAGCAATATCTAACTGATTTAAGCCCGGATCAATCATGGAGGACCTTAACGAACATCAGGATGGGGAGTGTGGGGGTGCAGCGGGGCTGGCATTCGAGTCTTCAAACATATCCATAGGAGGCTGATCGACACAAAGTTCCAGGCCCAAGCACTCGCAGCTTGAGGATATTCTTCTCGGACGGCTCGATATTCATGCAGTGATAGCCCAATGCAGCGGATGGAAAGCGACCATGACTTCAAGGGGAATGAACTGAACCATTCTCTTGGTTCCCCGTCCGGTTCCTTGGGCTTGTAGTTGCTTTTTCGTTGGTGTGGTTGATTTGGTGGGGGTTTTGGTGGGGCTTTGGTGGGGTTTTGGTGGGGTTTTTTGGTTTGGTTGGTTGGTTTGTTTTTTTTGTTGTTGCTTAACTTCCAGGAAAGCCCAGTTCTGGCTACAGATGTGTCGTATGGCACTGAGGCCCAGTGGCTTTGTGGCGGTCTTTGGCAACTCTGCCCGGGACCCATGCAACGAACTGCGAGTTCCTGACAGAGAGCAGAAGGGTTTTTAAAGCTGCGCAATTGCTAATTTAATTGATTTCTAGTTGTTCAGATTCATTCAATGATGTAGCTGTATCACGGATACCTGACAGCAGGAATCTTGGTCGGGTAGTAAACTGTACGAGTGCCCTGTTCATTTTGTTTTAAAGCGAAACCAAAAAGAACACCCATGGGGTCCAAATCCTCAATTACAAGACATACCCATTTGCATTGAACCTCAGGATTGGCTCAATGGAGCTCCGTTCAATTTGGGGTGGCGGGCGGTGCGCGTTGCGGGTGAGTCTCGGTCTCTCAGATTGTCTCGATCAGCGATTTCACGCGAGCGCCGATCCCACGATGTTCATTTGGTTCGGTTGGTGACTGAGATTTCACGACCCCTTTGGATTTGCTCCAGCGGGTCAAAAGACTTTTCAAGCTTCTGACACGGTGATGAAAAACGCCCGCCCTTAGACAAGCATGAATCTCATTCCCGGAGCGGGAAGTGGTGCCCAAACACAATCGCCCTTGTGACATGCCCTGCACGCAGCGACCTTCCACACAGCCCCTGACAATATGGCTGTGGTTGTCAAAACCAATGGGATCCCATTTTGGTTGGTAGGTGAATTCACCACCCCTTTTAGGTTTCCGATTTTAGGGGTTGAATTGAATCGGTCCCGTTCACTGGGGGCTTAACCCATTTGGATTTTGAAAAGCGGGCCCATGGCCAGAAGATCAAACCCGAGCCTCCCGAAAGCGGCCGAGGTCTTCCTCTTTGGGCTCCACCACTACCTGCCCAGCATGATGTCCCCGCTGGAGCCGCAGTCGCAAGCACCAGGAGCTTGCGCCTGGTCGCTTGCGTCTGGTCGCTTGCGCCTCGCTTGCTTCAGGGGACCAAAAGAGCTGGCTGATGCAGTTTTTCAGTAGAAGGAAACCTACATTCAAGCCATAGTTTCGTGTTTTCAGCAAACAGAAAGACAAGCTTGTGAAGCTTCCTCATTCTGACATGCTGCCATTGGTGTGAAATGCATCCAGCTTCTAGGGTTGCTTGCCTATGAACTTGTTGTTGGCATGTGTGTTGGCAGTCCAACTTGGCATGCCAGTTATCGCTGAAGACTACTCCTGTAGCCAATTGTAATTGGCAGGCAATCTGGCCAAACTTAGACAATCAGAAATGGTAGTGATGTGGGTGTGTCTTTTCTTGAGGGTACTAGTACCATTTGTTTTGTGGTTTCAAAGGAAAACCGCAAGCAAACCCACTGTTTTGGGGGTCCGCAAGCAGTGCCCATGTTGCAGAGGGGTGCTCGCAACCGGGGTGCAACAATCTGCGAGTCACCCACTCCGCCGCGAAAATGCGAGCGAGGAGTGATCAGATGTGGCTTCGGCATTTGCCCGGCCCCCCGGGCACCAAGAGCTCTTGGGCTTTCGTATCTTCCACCTACCACCAGTTGCCCAGTTGCCCAGTGGATTCCGCCCTTTTTGTTTCTCCTTTTGTTGGGAAGGGTTCCCCTTGAAAGTCAACCAACCCAAACAAGGATGCCCCTTTTTTCCCATGGTTCCTGGGCATCTGAGATAAGAAAGGGGCGAACCAGCATGAGGGGAGCATCCCTCGTGACCTAGCAGGGCTCAGGCTTGGGAAGTTGATAGCGCCAGTTTTTGAAAGCGGCCCTCCAAGCTGCCCTCCTTTGATCATAGGTGTCCTTTTTAGGTTAGTGTGGTTAAAGATAGAAGGCATTGGTTTAGATGGGTTTCATGCACCATTTACCAGGGACATCTATTTTTCCAAAAGGACACCTATGGCAGCGATTCTATCTTGTGACCAAGGGCTTGCCACGGTTCAAGAAACCAAAAACAACAAAACTGATTACCTAGTTAGTATAAGGGCTTTCCTAGGATCCACGATTGTGTAAATGGTTTAAACCAAGAATTGAATTGGCAATCCACCCCCGAGAAGCTACGGTATTGGACTTCACAAACAAATCAAAATATACCCAGGAGTTGTTACGCTTGGTTGCTAACTTGCGCCCATGGTGGGTCTTCTGGACAGGTTCGCGAGGCACCTCTAGCTACGTGGCCAAGCTTGCCAACTTGGAAAGACCATTGATAATGGACAGATCCTCGCACGAAGACGTTGTTTTGGTTTATGCACCTGTCCTCATTTGGGCAAGTTATATGTGGTTTATTTCTGCCTGCACATAGCAGCTGCAGTACTAAGCGACATTCTTGGGTCAAACAACGCCAGGTTTGCTGGCCAGGGCCAAGCGTAACACCCTTTGATGTTGTCGATCGCTATGATAGTCGTTTTTTCTCTTCTTCTTATTTTTTCGGAATCTTATTCTGACTCGTTGTCCCGTCAAGTAGATATACACATACTATCACACTTCGTACTCTCAAAAGGCGGCCTGGCTCGTTACATGCCTCAACGTTCCCGACCTTTCATAGCCCTGACTGGCACTACTACGAGTACCGCTACCTCTTCCACCACTGCTACGGCTGCTGCTGCTGTTGCTGCTGCCCCTACTGCAACAACTGCTACAACAACAACTGGGCAGGCCGCTGACTCGCCGCCGTGGAACTGTTGCATTTTTGAAAGCAAGCATTTCTTGAAGCTGTATTGTGTTTTTGTCCAAGTATTCGCGCCACGTTTTTGGGTTTCAAAACGACCACCTGTTTATCTGAAGCTATGAACCATGATTTGCCTTCAATCCATGGCTCATTGCAGATCCACTACGCCTGCCAGGGAACACTAGGTGTTCGCTTACACCGATTACACCTCTGACCGTTTCCAGCCGTCGGCCTGAGCTGTGGGCAGTCGGCCAACCCTAGAGCTGGGCAGTTGCGCTGCGGTTGAAATCTGGGCAGCGAGCTGAGACAACTGCCACGGAAACAAGAAAAGCAAAGCCTCTAATGCACGCCTGCAAAGACGAAAGCTTGGGATCTACCGCCTACAAAAGATCTAAGAGAAAAACCGACAAAGAGAAGTCCGCAGGGGCAGGCCGAAGGAGACAGCACCACACGGGTGAGAGCGTTCCCCTGCGAAGCAGAGGCAGCAAATCGCCCAGGGTGCCTACCACCCGAGCGCTGTACCAAGGATGGGTTAGTCGAGACTTAGGGGGGCTCAACTTCTTATAGTCCATGTGTTCAAAAAGAAGCCAACTCCGGAGCCGGGGGGCTGAATTTCTTACCAGTTTAACCTTGTTTTGACTTGGCAGGTTGTAATTCTGCGTTCTTTGCAGGTCTGATTGTCTTTGCAAAAAGGCCCGTCTTAGCGAATAGGCCTGTGAGCCGAAAAGGCTGGAACTTCAGCCCTGAGTTTCTTATCGAACAGGCCTGTGGAGCCAGCAACGGAATCGGCCCCCCACTGAGTTTGGCATAGCTGGGGCTGGAAACGTTGTGTTTTTCTTTGATAACATTTTTTCCCAAACAATCTCGAAAGGGCTACAGTTTCTTAACAAATATGTTTCTGTTTTTTTCCGGCTGACAGGCCTATTCCCAAATAAATTCATGGCTCAATTTCTTTGGCGGCCTCTTTGCTTGCCCAGGCTTGGCTTGAGGCGGCATTGGAGGCCACTTATGGCTTGTTCTTGCCTGCACGCAAGAAATTGGGGGGCGCAATTTCTTAGCAGCAAGAGCAGTTGCAGGCCCTCAAATTCGTGTCCAATGATGTCTTATCCATGTAGGTAGTGAAAAACGAACGCTATTCCCCCCCACCCCGCCCACCGCGCCCAACCCCCCACCCCAACCCCATTGATTCCACGGCAGCAAGGCAGCCGCTACTACCTCTACTTCTTCTTCTTCTTCTTACTACTACTACTACTACTACTACTACTACTACTACTACTTCTACTACTACTTCTACTACTACTACTAGTACTACTACTCCTTCTCCTCCTCCTCCTCCTCCTGCTGCTGCTACTGCTACTGCTACTGCTACTGCTACTGCCGCGACTACGAAAACGGCCGCTACCGCAGTGCGCAGTGCTTTGGATGCCGTGGCTCTGCTCGCCTTCTCTGGCGCCGAGGCTACTTCCTGCTGGTCGCCAGAAGCTTAGCATGGCCTCGTCACGAGGGCAAGCCAAAGGAGTGCAGGGACTAATGTTGATCCGGGATCAATGAACCCGTCCCACTATTGGGGGGGTGTTCCCTCCAAAAGTGATGAATCCCCACTAAAAGGGGACACCCCCAGTTAATCAACCAGGGGGTTCTTAATCCGGGTTAACATTAGGTGGAAGCAAAGCTTCAGCAGGGTCGCAAAGGAGCCCCAAACAACAACACGTTGTTTTCACCGGACCCGCCAAACAAACACCAAGCAACTGTATTTGGATTGAGGCCAAAGCCCGCTTGCCTTTGCCTGTTGCTGCAAGGCTCCACGACAAGTCCAAAACAATCTATCGAACTATTTGGTTCATTGATTTGCACAGTGCATCCTGAACTGCCTTTGGGTCCAAGCGGATGAGTGTGCTGCTCTTTGACGCTTGGCCCTCCAACCATCCATGTTTTATTTGAAAAACGTACCCTGCGACTGTTGCCTGGAAGGGCAAGTTGTATCCAGTTTTTTCTCAGGGGGCAGGGGTTAGATTTGCACAAAATTCGAGAACAGTTGCGCGCCGTAAAACAAGTGTTGCTTGGCATGTAGTGCTTTGCTTGTCAGGACGGAAACTTGTTTCTGTGGCTCAGGTTTTTGACGATATATATATATATACATATTTCGCTGGGGGGCAAACGCCGAGGTAGTTGGTCAACTGGCGTCCTGCCAGGCCGTGTGCTTCACTGCGCTCACGGCCTGGGGCGGCGAGACTCATGCAAAGGCACGAGTTGGGGCGATTAGGGCTTGATTTCATAGTGCCCCCCAAAAGGGCCATAGCACTGACCAATCCATCATTGCGCAAGACTTTGGTCCGCGGAAATTTCAGCATCGGTTCGTTGAGTTTTTTTCGGCCAGTGTGCATCTCATCCTGGCGGGCACTTCTGCTCAATCCAGCGGGAACCTCAGCTCTGGCAATGCCTCAGCGACGCTTGGTTTGGCATACATGAGGTTCGTTCATGCGGTTCTGCGTATGACGTTCGTTCAAACTTTCAGGTAGTCCGTGGTTCATGTGAGAGGGGGAGCTCACAAGATTGAAAAATAACAAGTTTCCCCATGTCCCTTATAGGGGGAACAAGTAGTTTTGACCATGGCTCATGTGACGCCTTGGGCTTCTTGGCCCTTGAGTCTTTTTGGATCCAGCCAAGTGGTCGCATGTTTAGAAGCGCGCGGATGCCGGTTGTTTCCCTTGGAACCCCACCGGTAGTTGTATGGTGACGTTCCTTTCATGGGCTGAGTCTTTTTGGGCGCCAAGGCCATTGTACAACCTCAACTTCTCGCCCTTGTCACTCGGCGGAGGCGCATGGGATGCGGGTTTATGTGTTTTTTCTCAATGAGCCCCGAAACTGGGCGGTTTCCCTTCAAACACCCATAAAGGCCGTACAAAAGCGACCCGCATCATTTGCGTTCAATAGAGAGGGGATGAGGTCGTCCTCTGCCAAAGTCCCGCGCTGAGTTGGCTGTCAGGCTCGGTTGCCCTCTTCCTCCTAGCGTGCGGGAACCTAGATATTGGCGCGACAGCGCCCAGCTGCATGCCCTTTTGGCACTCAGTTGTGGTCCGATGGTCCGTTTGGTGACCTGCCCGCCTGGTCCTTCTGAAAGAAAAAGAGGAGGCTTAGCGTCGCATAGCCGTGGCACCTTGAGGCCAGCTGAAATGAGTTTGTATTTAGAGTTGAGGAGTTGAGGTGAGGTGAAGAAGGGTCATAGGATCATAGATCTTCAGGCATTGTTAGTTGTTTGAAACTTGTGTCTCTTGGCGAGAACCACTTGGGCACTTGACATTTTGCCAGAGACTGGCCGATGATTCCTCACGCAGGACATCTTATTTGGCCTTTGCAAGCGTTGTTCTATTCAAAGTTGCTAATTAGGCGAACGGGACCGACCCTAGCCTTAACCCTAGCCGTTTCAAATACAGATTCAGGGGCGCTTTGTTCCAGTGAGGACATCAGAAACTTGTTGTCGCTGAGGTTTGGGCAGGAACAAAACACCTCATGTTTCTTTGTTCCAAGCATTTCAACTTTTGTGTCAGCCAGGGCCCTCGATAGCTTGACCGGTTTCGCGTCCGTGCCAAGGTACCCTGCCATGGCCATTGCGAGTATCCCAGTGGCTGCCACCCGGCAAGCAAGCAAACTGGGGCAATAGAGTGGCTGCCTATTCTAGTGGTGTGGATTAACGTGGAAACACAACTAACTCCTGTTTCTGGGGAATCTGTGTAAAACGCTTGATTGGCGCTTTGCCTGCCGGAGAAGTAACCAAGGAAATCTAGTGCTCCCTGAATTTCCATGCATGCGTGAGGAAGTCATGCCCGGGTCTTGCAAGAACGTGAACTCTCACGTTTGGCTGTAGGGTTTTCCTCCCACATGTGAGTGTCCACAAAATGCTGCTTGTGTGGGATGCACGCATGAATATTGAATAAGGTTTCGTCAACATATGTTACTTATGTTGCGTGCTTGTGGAGCCTGCCAGGACACTGTGACTGTATCCTGGTGTTCCTTCCCCCTTGCTTGATTCGCGTATTCCTGTTGACAGCCATGGAGCGCATGGCATGTCAGCCAACACAATTGTCATGGCGTGGCTCCTGGATCCTTTGACCTTACTCCCTATAAGAAGGGGATGAGCTACTGCTTCCCTTGGATTCGCTGGCCTTTGGGCTAGCCGACTACAAACATAGTTCCATGTTTCTAAAGGGCTAAAGTGGGGCGACTTGAGATTCCGGCAACTTTTGTTTGGGCGGGTGATGCCCTCCCAGAACACGCACACACACACACCCAAAGACAGCCCTCCCATCTCAGGTCATCACCACCCGCAACACCATCGGCCAATGGCTGGGCGGGTGGCTGGAAAAGCGTGGCGTTCCGCTTGCACGGCTGCAGGACTGATCGTGTTGATCGTGTCAGCGGAACCCAGCAGCAGCCTTTGAATAGGCGCTCATCCCAGTTGTCCAGTGGCACCTTTTGTTGGCAGCGGGCTCCAACTCAAATCGGTCAGGTGCCTGTGCTTTTGTCCAGATGCCTGCCCTCAAAAGCAATCATGGCTGGGAGGACTGGAAAGAGGTTACTCCCTCTCTTGTCAAAGGACATTTTGAAGAAACTTTTGGAGTAATTGCTGGAACTAGTTGAGCTGGCTGTCCCCAAGGATGCAGGCACCTGCGCATGCTCTTTAAGACTAGATGGACTGAGCGTGGAACACGCGAGAGATTTGGGGAATAGAAGCGCCACGGTCGCCGACGCCTCCGTACAGGCGGGCGCGGTCTCGGAGAGTGGGCGCGGAGCGCGGTCGGCGATCGGCCCATGGACACGAGCGCGTGCGCGCGCGGGGGGTTTTTCGCATCCTTTATTGAGTGAATCTGGACAGAGATGCAAAAAAGTGATAGAAAGAGAGAGAGAGAAAGAGAGAGAGAGAGAGAGAGAGAGAGAGCGAGAGAGAGAGAGAGAGAAGGGAAAGAAGCGTGCTGCAAACTAGTGTTCTTATATTTGTTGAAATGTCCGCCGCCCGGCTCTGCCGGACATGACTGATAAGCCTCTCATGCGCGTGCGCCAGGGCAGCAGGATGGGGGCCGCAGTTTGAGGGCTATGCTTGAACCCCTGTGTGGGTGCGCGTGTTTTGCGGATACTCTTCTCCAAGTTGGTTTGAAGGGAAACCAAGGTAAAATCACTTTTTTCTTCGGGTCTGCTTATTGTGACACATACCCAAGTGCTGGGGGGAGCTGTTGATTCGGCTCACACCAGCCATGTGCCGCTTTCCTTGCGACTCACTCGTCACGAAGGAGTCCTACACCAGGCCCAACATCATCCTGACGCTCTTCGTGGTGACCCCACCGCCGCTTCGGCGTTCTTGAACGCTCGCCGATCGGGGATCGAAAATGGGAGATCCTGCCGGTTCCTTCTGACCCGATTCAAGTACAAATAAATCCTGGGGTTCAAACCACCACTAGAAGATTGGTTGGGTTAATAGAAACCACATACAACCACCGTTCACGACTTAAAAAAAAAACAAAAAAAAAAACAAAAACATCCAAGTTGGGTCCTTGCCCTTCTTTCAAAGGGGTTGAACCTTCTGGGCTTGGGGTCCGTCACAGGCGTGGCCTCGGCGCCGCACAGCGCGTTTTACGGTCAACTCATCCTTTTACTCGTGGCTAGTGGAGGAGTCGTGGACCCAAGAGGTGATTGAAATCTGAAGCAAGTGCAAGATTCAAAATTGAACACATAAACATGACCCAAGATGTATCAAGAGTCTGGACCATGGCACACATGTTCTCCTAGAACTTGGCAGGACTTGTTGGCATAGTCTGAAGTCGTCAGCGTGTTGTGAGGGCCCTGGGGTTCGGTTCGCGCATTTGCGCGAGCTGTTGGGAAGCGACCCGCTCGCCGGATGCTTTCCTTCGGCTTTTTTCGCCTCAGGTTCGTCGTGGCCCTCATCACACAGAACGTGCAGGCGGCGTTTCAGCGAGGATTGTCAGTCCCCGCGAACATGCCTTGGGTCAGTGTTGGGCAATTCTGGGCGGCCAGGGTTGGGATTGTCAGTGGCTTACGCCTGAACCGAAAACGAGAGGCCACTTTGGCTCACATTTCATGGATTCGTGAGACATCACATACATCACGTCGCTTCAGTGGCTTCTCCGTCAAAGTGGGGGATCGCTGGGTCTTCATACTCGACAGAGGCCATGGCACGCCTACAAGACCTCATGCATCCTGCGACCCCACCTGACTGGTTATCAGGTTGCTTGGCAAAGATGCAAGCAGCTTGCGCGGCAAGATTGGACAGAATTCCTCCCACTGACATGGCATTTGTGGCTCTTGAAGGGCATTTGCTGCCATGTTTGTGACTCCCAGGCCCTCCAAGCATCTCCAAGCGAAGGTTGCTTGCAGAATGGACGTGCCCATGCGCGCTCGCAGAGTTTCCGTTTTGCTCAAGCGGTTTTTCTCCGGCCGCGCAGTCACGCGTAGACTTGGAGAGGGTGCGTGCCTCAGTCAGGGTCGCACTAGAAGATTCTCCAGAATCTGGGCACGGCCTTGCTCCAGTTTTTGGACTTAGACTTTTTGGGAAGATCATTGTAGTTGTGGAGAAGTCCGGACGTGGTCTGACCTCATGAAATAGATCATTGTGAAAGGGAAATGGAGGTAGATCTGATATTGGAGTGGGGATCCCTCAAATTCCGACCACATTTGCTGGCTTGATCAAAGTGACGGCTAGAAATTTGCTGTGCGCAAGCCCAACACTCGCCCAGTAGGAATTGGCTTCCAAAGGCTCTTCACGCGTCAGATTGCTAAACTCCCCACGTGGGTATGGGTCAAAATTAACTCACCAAGACACGGACCGCAGATTTTTGTCCTTGTTTCCATTTAGCAGGCTTCCATTTTGGGTACCTATTTCTGACCCACACCCATGTGAAATGTTCTGGAATGGGATAGCGGGCCTGAGGCACAGCCTCAAACAAGAAGGTGCAATATGGCTGTGGATCAAAACCAATGGTGCCATTTCTGGGTAGGTGCACCACTCATTTTAGTCTATTTTAGTGCGGATTGGGATGTTCACTGGGGGTACGGAATTTTGACCCATGGCCATATCTTGCTTGTTCCAACCACTTGTGGCGCTGGTGCGAGCACATGATGCAAGTGACATGCGAGCATTATTTGCCCCGGATGCTTGCGGAGCTGATGTCCCTCACATTAAGGACCAACATGGGTCCCGGTCAAGAGGCTCAGTACTTCCGCCCCCCAGGAGCTGTGCCAATGTCTTGGAGAGCTGATTTCTCCAAATCAGCCCTTTCAGAATGCATTTCATTTGGACACCCGTCTTTGTTGTACCCTAAAGCAAAGACGGAATCTGCAAGGGGATCGTTGGAGGAAAATCTTCTTTCAAGGCGTTCCGGAGTTGCCCACCCTTTGTTTTGGTTTAAAGGAATGCCAAAAGGAAACCCACCAAACATGTGGGCCCCCTACAAAAAGACACGCCCATGTTTTGCTTGGAGGGCCAGGGTTCCAGATGGGTATGGGTCAAATTTAAACCAACAGGGGACCGCAGGTTGTAGTCCATGTTTCCATTTGCCAGGGTTCCATTTTGGGTACCCATTTTTGACCCACAACCAGATGGTGCCATTTGAGGTCATCTTGGCCAATGACGCAGACCTTGGGATGGCACAGCGCCCAGGAAGACCGGCGCGTAGCGTAGTGGCACACGGTTTTACCTCTTGTTTGTCCCAAAAACGCTCCATACCTCTTCCCCAGAATTAGCTCCCCTTTTTTTGGGGGGGTCCCTTTGTTTTCCACGAACCAAGCAAACAAGTTGTTTTTTGCTGGGGTCCTAATTCCACCCATAACCTTTTGAGCATACGGACACTTGATGAAAGGAATCTTCATGGGAAGCTTGGGGTATCATCAAAAGGTCTGTTGGGGTTTTGGATTTTGGGGATGGGTTCCCTTTGTCCACCAACCAAGAGTGCCCTTTTTCCCCGTGACCACTGGGCTTCTGAGACAGGAGACCAAACCATTTGGAGTCCCTGAAAATCACGCATCACACATCACCGGTAGGTTCCATGTTGGGGAGCGGTGGTCCACTAAGTTCAGTACGATGTACACAGTACAAATCTTTGGCGCATTTTGCTTGGATGTTAGGACTTTAACTTTTTGTCAACTAGCGGGTTTTCCATTAAACCACTAACAGTTAGTCACTTTTCGCAGGGAACAGATTTCGCAACCGAGTAATCTCCTTGCAGCATCTGACGGTTTGCAGCGCGGATGGGCGAGTTTGCGCCAAGGTCCGTGAAGCCACCAGAGGCGAGGTGCCGAATGGCTGGTCTGAGGGCTTTTGGCCGGCAAGCTAAGCGCTTCATGATGCATGCTGGAAGGTGTGGCCTAGTTGCTGTGCAGCTGCTTCTTGGCACGGCTTCAGGTTGTTGCCATGTTTGCTATTTTTTCTAACAACAGATGACACAAAACGCAGGCAGGCCGCGGTTGCCATCAGTTGTCCAGCCATGTGAGTGCTTCACGGCCCATTCACGGCGGTGTGAATATTCCGATGTGGTGAGCAACCCTTTTTGGTAGCTTGGTGTGCTACCTTCAAGGATCCATGTTGTCAAGCCTATGCATACCTTAAGCCATTTTCCCATGTACTAGGGAGCAAACAAGCAAATCGGAACTTCCATGCACAAGCCAAATCATTGGCGATCCAGCGTTCCCACAGGTGTGTGATCAACAGAGCCTTTGCAACTGAATGGCGCTTCCAAAAGAAGGAGAAGAAGAAGAAGACGACAAAAGCAAACGAGCTGCTCTTTTGTCATGAGGCTCACTCTTATATTGGCTCGCTTCGGGTTCTTTCCGGTGGTGGTCAAAAGACCGCCTTCCTTTGGGTTGGTCAACCAGGGGTTCGGAGAACCCTGACTGGAACACCCTCCGGGTTCGGAGTGACCATGTCTTGTCATCGCCAGGATGCGAACCCCAGTGCTTTGTCACCGAAGAGCCGGACGCCTCGGCGGGAAGAAACACCCGGTTGCCCAGTTGGGCCGGAAGAGCGCCAAAAGATCTTGGGCGGTTTCCCAAAGAACCACTCACTCCCTGAGTTCCCGGACTTCAAGCTTTTTGAGAAGACCATTTTAGTGATAAGCAAAACGTTCAGACCCTTTCTGACCAATCTACTCGGGAAGTGAGACCATATCCCGACCTACAAGGGGTAGACTTAAGTCGCATCGGCTTGTGTAGAGCCGCATCGATCGCGCGTGGCCGGTGGGGAAAGCGTCCCTGCAGGGCAACCCGCCCAACTGTGTGCGTTGGAGTGGAGTCCCATCGAAGCAGCGTGCCGCGCAGTAAGTAAGACATCCACTGCGCGCTTTGTGCTTTGCGAGCTTTATCATGCAGGCGAAAGTGTAAATGCCGCGCCGGAGGCCCGTGTCTAAGTCGATCTTTGGGCAAAGTTGTCTCACCCCAAACAGGAAACATCATGTTCCTGAGTCCTGGGAGTTTCCAATCTTGCAGTCGTCGTGGTAGCACCTTTGGATCAAGATGAAAGCACGACCGGCGTCTTCACGCAACGCACGGGCTGGGTTTCCTCGCCCAAGTCAACTCAAAGCAGGAGATGGCGAACTCAGCCTTACTCACTATGTGGGTGTGTCTCTTTTTTTGAGGGTACAAGGGAAGCCAAAAGCAAAACCACCATTTTGGGGAGTCCCTTTAAAAACACACACACACACATCCACGCATAATAGTTGTCATGTCCTGCTCGCGACTAACCCAACAGAAAGAAAGATATAAGCCTGCAGTGCAATTCTAACGTCAAGGTTGCTGGCTTCTTGAGCACAGCTTCAATGAGTTTCAAGCAATGAGGGGAGAAGCCAACTAATAAATCCAGAGATACTGACGGATGGCTGCTGGAGTTTGGTTGATAATTCACAAGCCTAAATGAGGGAGCCAGCAGAATGGGTGGTTTTCAGTTTGATGCTCCTTGATTGACAACAGCCCTAAACAAATTTTGCCAATGTAGCCTTTATTCATCTTCCCGAGTTTCGAAGGGATGCTCAAGGCTTGGCTGTTTGTCGATTGCCCCGCCCAGGCTTTTCATCTGCCAAGGACAGGGCGAGATCCGGCAGTGCACGCTTTAGGAAACTCAAGCTGAGGCGCGCTTCAATTTCAGCGGAGGAATAAGGTTCGGGTTCTATCAAGCAGGTTCCAGCTTGCACCAAGGAATGAGGACGTGTGTAGGAACCTAGAAGCCACGTGTTGCAACCAGATACGGGTCACCCGAAAGGTATGCTATTTTTCAGAGGACGGCAGATCGGCAAGGGCTGCCTAAATAGCAAAGGCTCCCTGAAGCGGTGCTGGCCGACACAAATGTCTCGTTCGTTGGTGCCTGCTTTTGGTCGTTGAACAACAACGACCAACCATTTTGAGAAGGCCCTATTTTGAGCCATACCCAAATGCAGTTCCAACAGCAACTAGCAGTTCGTGGCATGACCATTCTTTGCCTCTTGATACCACGGGGTTGCCTCCCATACCGGTTTTTGTGCAAGATTTGCTAGTGTTTTCACAGTCCAGTCCCAAGCCACGCAGATGGTACGCTTGATTTTTCTTCGCCAATGGGCGAAGACTGCCACAAGCAACACTCTGTCAGTCCCCAGCTTGCACGTGCCTGGCCGGCAGCACTTCAGGCCGTGAAAATGAGGCATTACTGTTGAGGTAGGGAATCAGCCGTCTAGCGGGATGGGGGTTCTGCCTGTTTGGTTTTGCCGTCGTTACATTCAGCTTTTGCAGAGGGATTGGCATTGAATGGCTGGAGCTTGCCACACCCACGAATTTTATGTTTGTGTTCTCACCACCAATCAATCTTGCTAGTCCAACAGAAGGCAATCGTGGAAACACAAGTGATCAACAGCATTCTCAAGTTGTAAGCAAACGTTACGTTTTTGTTTTTTGTCAAACAGGTGTGCTCAGGCGGTTGCGCAA